ATATATAGAAAAAATATTTTGCTCGCTTTCCTCTTAATTTTTTTAAAAATTTTTAGAAGACATATCTAAAAACTTATTTTTTTTAATTTACATTTTTAAAAACCAATAATTGGATTGAAAGTTTATTTATATAAACTATACATACTAATTTTTAAATTATTCTAATAAGTCTAACCACTTCGTTATTTTTATTGTACTAAACCGCTTAATATCTATAAGTCATATTGGATTCTAACTAATAGGTTAGACCCTATAAGGAGGGAAGTTCTTTCAGTATCTATTTCTCCATTAGTAAGAGAAACTGAGTTCTTTCTACTTAAAAACCATCTCGTTGATTATAAAAAATTTAATATCATTAAATATATATTAGTAAATATAGTTTCTTTGGTTAAAGGGTTATGAGTATTATATTAATATGAAAATTGATATTCATGATTTACGTGAATAAAACTTTTAAACTAACAGTTGGTTTTCAAAAATATTAATTAGAATATGGACTTTTTTTTTTAAGTCTCATATATATTAAATAAAATGTATCAAAGAATTTCATAAAATCAAATATAACCAATTTATATGTTATGTTAAGAAATGAATATGCATGTTATTACTTAACTGACCGTGAAATAACTAGAAGTAGATACTGCCAACTAAAAAAACAAAATTAAAACATCTTAATTTTTAAATGAAGAATGGGTTTGTTTTAACCTTTACATATAGTATTTTATATGTTCGAAGAAAATTTATTTAAGTAATTTTTTATAACATAAATATCCAAATCTTTTGATTAAGAGTTTTGCAATTTATTACTTATATTCCATCTAGTACGTGTTTTTGGTAGTATAGAATCGCAATTTATATTGATATGAAATTAATATTGGGTCAAAATTTTTCTTTTACAGAAAACATGACAAACTAGATAAGTGATATGTATTGAAATTTGTCATATGTTTTAAAGACAGTGTTTTAAGGATATAAGAAAATAAAATATAAGAAGTTCTACTATTTGATGTAACTCTCATACATTTTCAAGCACTTTATCACGCCTCAAAACAAATTTTGCAGCAGGAAGTACTTATATCCTGCAAACTGTTGTACGAGTCTTTCATTTACAAGGCCATAGAATTCAAAGACAGTGTATTTAACTTCCAGACCTTGGGTTTGGGAGATCCTCTTATTTCCAATTTACCTGGAGAACCTACCTCCTCTGTAATCAAGTTTTGTTTTTTTTTTTTTGTTTTTTAGGAGGTATCTGACTTTTAACCCCCCACCCCCCCTAATCCAGTTTAAGGACTTGGGATTTGGTCAATTCCAACTAAGTACTTCATCACACCTTATAACAACTTCTACGGCATGAAGTACTTTCATGCATCCCTCAAAATCTTGCAGGTGATTTTTATCTGCGAGACAATAGAATTCAAATATTAAATTTAATTTATTCATGCAAAATGGATTGGGCATGATATGCTTGATTTTTCCTGTCAGCACATGGTTCTAGGATTTAATAATCTGAGCCTAAGATTTAATAACTTCTGTCAAGATGTTGATTCCATAAAATAATCTATTAGTTTATATTATGCAAATTACAGACTTTTTAACATAGAAAGAACATTGAAGAATTGTGGCAGGGCATTTGTAATTAATTTCCTTTCACATATTTGAAAATGGGAGGACATGGTGATGATGAACACAATCCAACCTTAGGCCACATTGTGCCTTGCCTCAGCCTATCGCAAATAGACGTGCAGTAATTCAGATAGACAACCACAGTTCTCAGAGCATCAAATTCTAACCAGGAAGGAAATATTCTTTCCATCTCAACCCTACATTATCCCTCCAAATTAAAAGATAAATTCAAAACCCATTTTGATGAGTTTAAACAACATAAAGTCTCACCCACAACCACTAAAAGGTGGCCCAAATGCCAGAGAAAACTGATACCCTATCCATGCCCAAAAAATGCAGAAAGATTCTAGCAATTTTACTATGAATCAAATGATTCAGTGATATTAGCAGTTATACATGTCCCAACACTTGAATGTCAAAAATAATTATTTGTATGATCAAAATAATTACATAGGCAAAAACAAATTTGTATGCTGATTTTTAATCATGTTAGAATACTGCATATTTTTCTTCAATTATACACGCTAACCAAAATGCACTTTGTGCCAATTATCTAAGGTAAGTTTGTAACAGAGAAAATGAGTACATTATCTAAGATTATGCAAACACATTATATGGTATTACTTGAAGTCTCAGAAGTAAAACAGGAACAGGAGTATATCAGTATATCAACAGCTAAA